TGGGTCAAGACAACGCAAAACTGGAGCTCCTTCTTTCCGTTTGTTTTCACCCATGAACAGGTAACAGCTCAGAAAGCAGACGCATGAACGAGTTCAGCGCAACGCGTTTGGTGACAGCATGCCAATCCATGCTACAGGCGAGTTGCTTTAGTTGTGCCGCTGCTGGCAACGTAGCTCGTCCACATCACCAACTGAACAGTGGGCGGATCGCTTTTGGGGGTGGAGTGCTTTAAAAGTCCTGCTCAGCAACCAGTGAACCGTGCGTCGTGAAAGCGCTACACCTCGCTTTACTGACGGCCAATAACTGATTAGTGTGGTGTATATGCTTCCGCGATGCGCTCCACATTTATCGCAACCACTGCCTTTAGAGACACGCTCCGACTACTGTAGGCTGGCTTCCGTCCATTCCAAGTATGCTGAAGGCATCCTAAATAGTGCTCTTCTCAACCGGTTTTTCTGCTCTGAAAGTTTAACCTGAACCAAGTTATAATCTTTTTTATTGAGCGCCGCCCCTTCATAGAGCGCTCCGTCCACCACGGGCGGGTCACCCAATTTCGACTTCTCGACGCAGGGCACACAATTACACATTGTTTCCGCTCTTTGGGCTGTTCTATAACCGAACACGAAACTTTCGAGATAAGCACCCCAATTCGGTGTGTGCCCCGCCCACTGTGGGCGGAGCATCGCTTAGCTGATATGTTTTGTACTCTATCAACCGTACCCCACTCACCCCAACCTTGACCTCGGCTCCCTGAGCGGTTTTTTAGGTAGTAACAAATTTCGTGATGAAGGGAGAAAATCGTCCTTATGCAATTTTGTTACGTTAGTGATTCTTCTCGTTCTCTGTTTTCTATTCTTTCTATACATTATCTTATTTGATCACTGCTGTTACTATCATCTGTTGCATCTTATCTTATCTGATTTACTCACTGCATCTTGAACTGATTTATTCGCACTGCTGAATGCACTAAATGACTTGTGGGCAACCGCGCATAAAGGCATTGATTGCGCCCTCCAGCCATCGGGATTATTGCCTTTACACTGTGATGACATCATGGGTTTTGGCATTATTTGGTCCTTCAAACACAGCGTTAGTTATGAATTCTCTGAGCCACGTGGAGAAAATCCCGTATGTGCCAGAAAGAATGACATAGGTGCAACGGACGTCGCACTGTCCCGCGCCGTCTGCGAACTTCGACGCGCCTGCGCGCCGCGCTGTCATCGGTTGGAGCACAACTTCTTTTCTTAGTGAAAGTTAGACGCCAATCTAGTGATATCCTCAGCGAATAAAGGCATGGCATGTTTGCTACGAGTCTTCAAATCGTATACTCGCTATGTGAGCCACGGCGACAAATACGCTTACAGTAGGATGAATTCCTTCACAGTTCCTTTCAAATATCAACAGCTAGTACGATCCATTATTTACTTTCTTCCAGATGTGCAATGTCTCAAGTCTTCGAAATCCTTGCTCGGCTTGCCGATTTATGGATCGTCGGCAAATGTAAATGTTTTATGCAACGCTCCAAATCGACCACACACATCGACTGTTTCCAATTAGAGCCTTGGGTTGTAGAGGAGTTGAGTGTTTGCGCAACACTTGGCAGGTAAGAATACTAACTTTATTAACTAATGAGTTGCATAATGAGCTCAACTTTTAAGCACCAATTTTTTCAACGAAACACCGTCTCAAGCTGGTTCGGTACTGTATGCAGAAAGCCTTGACAGCCTGCAAATGGATGCTCTCGGCAATCCAGTTCGTTGGGGCGCAACGCTGTAGAACTCCTTCTACAGTAACCGATGCTCCATCGTCTTTATTCCTTTCTTCTTTATATATTTTTGGACTAGTAGTCTTCTTTTGCAGTGGCTGTACTCTTTTCTGAAACGGCCATAGGTTATGCTGACGAGTAGGCGTTCTCACAGATGTCTCTTTCTACGTTCACAGCTCCCCCTGAACTAGGGTGAATATCGGTCGAGGATTCCTCAACGGCACGTCGAGGATTTTCGCCTGATCAGTTACGTCTCCCGCGCGGACATTCACACTCGCCATGCGCGAGCCGTCTGTGCTCTCCGCGCGAACTCTCGCACAGTACTGAACTATGATCGAGAAGTTCTCAACCATTATTCACCCTGCTCTGAACCCGCTTAGTAGATTCTTTGAACAATATGGCCTATTCAACAAACGAAATCAGCCTGTGAATAAAATTCACTAGAAACCCTAATGTGAAGATTCTCTATTAAGATATCTATCAAATCCAAGTGAAAATTAATTATTTGAAACAGGCGCTAGTTTCCAGCAGATCATTCATTTACGACTGTAGCCTTTCCTCTCTCGAGATTGTTCCAGAGCAAGACGTATTTATAAAACCTTTATACAGTATGTGCAAATAACTCAAATATCCGTTTCTTTGTATATAAGGCATGGCACAACAAGTGATGGTCCACCTCTCCTCGGTACCATAATTCTGTGAATAATGTTCCCACTAACACGAACATATCCTTTCTTGGCCAAAGCCGGTTTGTCGTAGCTTTTATTCTGTACTATATAACCGTCCTTTTCAGTTATATCGTCTGGTAATATCTGAAGTGAGATGATCAATGAAACAAACCCAAATTAAATAATTAATAAAAAGTTTTTTGAATTTGTATTCGTGAATAATCTCGGACAACTATCAAACTTGTGTTCGTGAATCACCTCAGAACTGAGCAATATGTAATAAGTGACAATGTTGCAGTATAAGAGCACTGAAGAAGCGCTTTGCTTTATCGTCTTGGTTCTATGAGGAGAGGGAACAAAATATCAACCTCAAGTAACCAGTGCTGACTGAGGTTCGGCTGTACCTTGAAGGTAAGAATCGGGACCAAACTGGTGTGGTAATCCCTACAGTAATGCGTTCCGAGGAGCACAATACGGGCGAAAGAGGCGCGACATTTGCAGAGCTGGACCTAGCTCCTCTATCCACGGAAAAAGATCATTTCGTAGTATTGTGCACTGCCTAAAATTTGGCTTTGGGTTGGCATAAAACTGAGTTGGAAGCAGTTCAGCGCAGAGCGGTGCTAGTGGAACTCACATCGCCTACTTGGATCTACTTGATAACAGTGATAGGTCGGTGTAAGCCTTACGCCTAACGAGCCTAACAATTTCATGCACGCCGTAATCCAGCTATGGGTCAGGACATGCAGATTGTGGCCCCGTACCGATGCAAAGTTTTCGCTTGACGAATCATATTCATTGCGACAACTATGCATATGCGGTACACCACGCCCATTACGACGCCGCTAACGCTTGGAGCAACAATTCCAAACCGAATTCGCGGAGTAAAAACAGTCGAGGCGTGTCGAACGAGCTGTCCGTACTTTCTTGCTCACCCAGCATTTCTTGCTGGCCCGTGCCTGCGCAATCGAACATGCCAGTATAAGCAGAGGCGTATCCATCAGTACAAACAAAGAAATGCGATAATTAAATGAGTTAAGCAAGTAAAACCAACCAAAAAGAGGCAGCATTAATTTCGAAACGCGGGACAGTTACACGCAATCGCGCAAGGACCCGCAGCCAAGCACGCGATCTCCACGGCTGGCAAGTGGGCGTTACCGAATGCTTGTCGGTAACGCCCACTTCGAAGGCGTTCAACTCCCTTTCTAGACGCTCCCCAATGCGAGTTTTTGTTCAGAGACACTTCATATGTTCTTGTGGGGCTAGTGCATCTTTTGACCCATTAGAATGAAGGTAAAATCCCTGCTGTTGCTTTAACTTTTTACTCAGTTCCCGTATTTCACGTCCACTCACCTTGATGTTGCTCTCCTTGACAAGTTTCGCAACGGTTGGGCTCAACGGCTCGTATAGAATATTTTTCTGGTGATATTGCAGATCGGCTAGTATATAATTTACACCAAGTTCTCGAGCCTGTTTCGAATTCAGCACTGCTCCGCGAACTGCAATAGCATTTAAATGCCTTAAAAAGTTAGCAATATAAGCATGAGACAGACCTTGCACCAATTTTCCGCCCGCTGTTTTCATAACTTCGATACCAGTATGTTTCAGTATGTGCTCACCAACTTGGAGACCACTGAATTTTGCGGATTTTTCGATAGGAAAAAATCATACTAAGAGAAAATGACTCACGAGATAACAGCGCCTTTTGCATCTTCCATCTTACTGCCAAGGTAGTGGATTTTTCGGATATATTCAGTACCCGCTAAATCGATACACATTGTTGCTCTGGAATTACCATTCTCATTAAGTTGTTAGTCAAGACCAATGCTTTTAAGTGAGAAATCATTAGACATGTGAAACCAATGCAAACACTCGATAGGGTGAGCTCCCTATTTTTGCCTGATTTTGAATTAGATCTGGAGCTTCCCACCTCTCTTGCCACTATTTATGGTCACCTCTGCAAAGATACTTCAAAATCAGAAAGATGTATTCCCTTTTGCTACCTCAATAGTGACTTCTGTAGAGATTCCGTCTGTTCCGGTCACTCTTGAAAGTTGTCCCGTTTTGCTCTAGGGAACTTAAGGCAGCAGTTTTGTGAGAGGTTATTGGCGGCTTATCGTGAACCAAACAGTACAAAACTCCCCATATCATTCGAGCACGGGTTTAGGCCGAAGTCATACTTTGCGGAGCGAGCGGTCCGCGGTCGCGTCGCGGCCAGTGAATCGCTCGATTGGCTGGTACCGCAACGCGACCGCGGACGCTAGCGAATCGCTAGTAGCGAATCGCGCGATTCGCAAACTCTGTCATCGGCTTATACAGAACCCAATGATACGGAAGGATATGATAAGCAAGAATATGGAAACACTTCTATCTAGTAGTCGACTTGGTTTCTGGATTTCGCGCAAATAGGGACAAGAGTACTTGGTGCAGCTGTGTCGCCCTACTCCGTTCAACAACCTTTTTCTCCCACCGCGTTTGTGAACAACCTTCTATTACGTTCCAGTCATCGTGTATGCCACCCAACTCCTTCAGCGATGCGCGTTTCGCTTACTAGGACAAGCATTTCGCCATGACATTGTCGTGGCATAAAGAGTCAGAACGTTTCGAAAAGCGCGTAGTTGTAGGGCGAACTCACAAGGATAGTCCAAAAATAATGTATGCCATCGTAAAAAACATATAGACCTGTTCGGTGGGAACAATGTCGCCAAAGCCTGAAGTTCAAATGTTCTTCATGAATATTATCAAGAATAAACAGCAAATCTTATCTTCTCCAGTTTAATATCGCACCTACTGTGGCCATGGTGATGAAACAAAAGTAAAATGCTTCAAAATACTGCAGTCCTTCCCATGACTGAAAACAATTGGAATTGAAACAGTAAGTCGACAAATATTTAGTACATCATTCAAGCACGTACTTGGAACAAGAAACCTCCGATTGCTGTGTATGCCAGCAGCACAAATAACACCATGAACACTGGAATTCGCAATTCGTCTTCCATTGAGGACTCCGAATCGCTGTCCATTTCATGGAGATTGAGTGAGCCGGCCTAAATCAGCAAAATTGCAATAGTTCATTATTCAGTGGAAAAATTTCAGGTGAAAGCAAGCGTTGCTGTAGTATCCCTGTCTTTTACAAACTTAAAAGCAGTATTTGCAATGGCTGAAGGGCGGAGCGATTTTGATGGCGTCATCGAACGTCACTGGTGGACTAGACTCTTCAGCGCGATTGTGTGGTTGGGATCGCATCGCTTAACGCTGTTTCACCAATGCCATACAAGGACGCCAATGAACTGCGCCGTCCTCCAGTCATAATCACCACTACCTTAAATAATAGCCCAATATTGAACGAAAAATGGAATTTTGCATTTTGACCTAGCCTTATCGGGATCTCTTGACTCACATCCTGATAGCACCTCAAGCTATCAGGATGTGAGTCAAGAGATCCCGATAAGGCCAGGTCAAAATGAGCGCAACGATGCGATGTGTTGTGGATAATAGTGCATATAACTTAACGCAACGCTACTTGAGATACACTGGTGGACCAACACTGGCTGTCACGCGAAAAAAAGCGTCCGAATTTTTTTTTTCAAGAACTGCTCAAAATCCTTTTTATCCGCTTCCTTTGTTGAACAAATTGTGACGAAATATGCCCTCCCCTTCCTCCTTCTCCTCTCTCTTCAACCCCCCCCCTCTATGTCACATAGAACAATGAAAACACCATTCTGAATTCAAGCACCGCTCACTTTCACCTGAACAACTATTAACTTTGGAGGACAATTTCAGAGGGTTGCTCGGGTAGCGGAACTCACACTATTTTTTCGCAGAACAACGGAAAATATAAGAAGGAACGTGTTATCTCTCAGCAACAAGAGGAGGTCACAAATTTCGCTTTCTCAAGAAAGAATAGCGAATTCGAGAGGGGTAAAACGTCCTTCACTTTTCGTTCTATGGGAAAACATGGGAGTTTTATATCAAAGGTACTTTACAAGACCATGAATATTCATTTCGTGGAACAGACACAGGACAAGTGCTGGTTCACAGCAGTTAGTGTGATAGCTGTGAGGGCGGAGCTAATGTGAAGACGTTATTGGTGGACCAACTTTGGGAGGCGGTATGATCACACATTACAGTGCCTCAATGGTTGTGATCGGACCGCCTATCAACGCTCTTCCACCAATGACGTCTCGAACCTAGCGCCTTCTCCGAACCGTCACACTCACTGCTTTTAATGATGATTGTATTAGTCTGGGATAAAGGGGCTTAGTCATGAGGTTAGTGAAACAGCCAAGTTCTCCATTGTGCTTGCTAACTCAGCCTAAGCGATAAAATTGGTGGTTTTGATTTCACGAAATAGAACATTACGAGTACATTAACACTGCATGATGAACTCGGCCTTCATTGTTCTTTATGTGATAAAATTTCGCTGCATTCCTTCACAAGAAAACTTACAGGTATTCCGTGATGAAATTGAAACACCTAATTCAATAATGTGAGAGAGCATACTAAAGTTAAGAAGCATCATGAAGTTCATATGTTGAGTCGATACACAATATCGTAGCATTTCTACTCATCTCAATTTAGACTTTGGACTTTTGAATACAGGGTGCGCCAAAATTATGACGACAGCACATGCGTGCACTATTTGAGACCGACGTCATAGTCGGCGACGGACCAAGCGATGGAGCGATCGCGATCGCTCCATCGCTTGTCCGTCGCTTGCCAATCGCTCTCGGTCGAGCGATTGGCAAGCGATTGCGCAATGTGCACAAGCGACGGGCGATTGGCCCCGCCCCCAGTCAATGCAGTCGGCTGCGGTATCGATCGAGCAGAGCCATTGCCCGTCGCTTGTGCACTTTGCAAGCGATTGCGCAATCGCTTGCCAATCGCTCGACCAAGAGCGATTGGCAAGCGACGGACAAGCGATGGAGCGATCGCGATCGCTCCATCGCTTGGTCCGTCGCCGACTATGACGTCGGTCTGAACCACCTTTTGAAAGCACTCTTTTCTTCTCTGCTTCTCTCATTTTTTCTATGTTGACCTTGCTATACTCTACTTCTTTTACCGCTCAAACATATCATTGCCACAATGGTTAAGCCATCAGCTACCGCTTGACAATCGTCGAACTTCACCTTTAAAGACTTTCGGCTTGCGAAATCCAGCAGCGTCTTGGTGTACATCGTCGTCTATAGGACATTAAACGCTACAGGGAGCGACCGATCCGGAAGAAGAAGGCGTGCTTCCGCGATTACCACGAGTAATGTAAGGAGGGTACCTGAGAGAATTTGGAGGGTGTCAGTTCGCTAAATGTCGCGAGAAATAGAGATAAAGGAGACTTCGCTGAGAAGAATTCTACGCAAGCTGGGATTGAAGGCATACAAGAAAAATAAGTGTCAAAAACTCACTGATGCTCAGAAAGAAAAGAGGAAGAAACGATCAAAGCAGCTGCTCAGAAGATTTGCGGATGGACGACATTCAAAAATTCTCTTCACGGATGAGAAGCTGTTCACGGTGGAACAAGTGGTAAACAAGCAGAACGACCGCGTCTATGCTGAACCCGTACGCGACTGTGAGCCGCTCTTCTCATCCTGCTTCTGTCATAGTTTTTGCTGGAGTAACGGACCGCTGTGGTTCGTTCCTCAAGGGATCAAGATTAATAGCCGAAATTATCTAGAAGGACAAACTGCCACCCTGGGCTAATTCCCACTTTGGAAACCGCTCATGGACCTTCCAGCAGGACGAAGCCCCTATTCACAGGCCAGTGATTGTGCAACAATGGTGCAAAGCCACCTTCCATGACGTAATCAATTTCGCGAGTGGCTTGCTCTCCGGACCTGAATCCGATGGACTAAAGTGTAAGGGTTATTTTGGAAGCGAAAGCTTGCTCGAAACCCCATCGTTCTGTTGATTCAATGGAAAAGGCTCTCCAGAAGACGTGGGTCCAGCTGATCGCGTCATACTTGCGTGCCACCATGAATGCTGTCCCCGAGCGTCTTGAGGTTTGCGTGAGGGCCAACGGAGGAAATTTCGTGATCCATTGAATGTTTCAAATTTAGAAGTGAACAATAAACATTGTTGCATTATAAGTTCGTGAAAATTGTGAACGATTCGTTCAAGGCGATTCGAATACCTTGTCGCTATACCTTCTGGCGTGAAAACAATACATATATGTGTCAGGGCCAGGTCTGAGGGTGCAAAACACACATGAAAGCATCGCCGCTCGGTCTTTAAGCAAAAGGTCCCTTCTGGCGCATGGCTTTCCGAGAGGTTAGCAGGCTACAACATTATTCATAACTTATTTTCCCTCAGTTTTTCCTTCTTGTAATCTGAAATATTGCTTGGATAAATTGTTTCAAAAATATGCTTCGATTTGCAGGCTCCGAAGAAGGCGAGTGCGGAGAAACGTGAGCCGAGCAAAGTTTTACCAATCTCGGAGACACGAATAGAAGCAACTGGATGAAATTGCATCCACTGTAAACCTGTTAGGCATGGACCGGAACTATTACTAGAGATCGAGATAAACTCCCTTTCGAGTTGACCAGACGGTAATACAACTTCACAACCAAGTTGATCGCGCAGTACCTGGAGCAGATAATCGCGTATTCCTTCTACCTAGAGAAAGGACGTGTTGCGCAGTTTTCACGAGCCTAGGTGCAATTGCCCCAGTGTCAATGATGTTGGAACGCAAATTCACTTTCTAGTCGCAAAAGAGGTGCGACATCAATGCTTGTCTGTCCGCCTGCCTACTGCGCTCCAAAATGGTCCAGGTGAGTGTGCCTAGTCCCGGAGCGCATCTTTGAGATTTGGAGCAACCATGTGGATCATGATTTCGCAGGACTAATGAAAGTTGTATAGTCACAAAAACAACGGAAAATCATGATAAACATGGTTGCTCCGAGAAAGAAGCTAAAGACGATGAGCATGCCCGGCCATGCCCAGGGACTTCAACGTTTTGAGAAGAGCGACAAACACAGAATTGTAAAGCAGATTGAGCACTTTCAAACGATTAAACATTCTCCATACGGTATATATTACCAAGTTTCAAACGCAGAAAGCTACGATATCATGTACCAAACCAGCAGAAGAAAAGAAACTAGTCCACTTTGTTCTAGTAGAATGATGCAACTTCCGAATCTTCCTTGTGAAATCGGGTCATCATTACCAAGCAAACCAAGATCACTAAGACACAACTTAGGTGTTGAAAAGGCTTATATCAGACCCGTTTTACAAAGTCTTTGCCCTACAAACCGGATAACTTTTGAAGACCCGTGAAGTCGGCAAGTCAAGTCGGCCATAATTGTACCGAATTCCTTACACTGCCCACGAACGCGACATTACTTGTTGGAATGTGCAGCGTAGTAGCACTGAAAAAGTACTGGCGCACGAAGATAGGGATGAAGTGGCTGAGTTGTCGTGCCTACTGCGGCGGTCTAGGGTCTCAAATAGGTTGCAGATACTATGTCACATAACTTAGACTTCGTGAAGTGGAGTTGTGAAAGTGTTCGGCTATTGCGTTCAAATCAGACTGACTGTAATTCGAAAGCTCTTCCTTCACAAAACTTTACTGATAATGTTTCGGGCCTAAGCCCTTCTTCAGATCAACTGAAATACCATAGTACAATTACAACACATGAAAACATTGTCGATAACGGGTGCTACCAATGTTGTCGTCCTAGTGGAAAGGAGCAGGAGGAGGACGAATGTTGATGAGAGAAAATAGGGATGGGATGCTTAATGGGCTTTTTGTGTATAGAGGAAAGCGAATGATCTTCTTATAGTCACGATGCTTTCCTCTCGCACGTAGCACTGCCTTATATTTCTATAAGCTTCATCGCCATCTTCATTTCCTCCTTGTTATGTTAATCGGTGGTGCACACTGCTTTATTTCCAATGCTTCCCTTATCTTTCGCTCGACCGGGTCAGTCACATTTCTGTGTAGGATAACAACACGAAGTTGTCGGGGCATTTCTTGTGCGTGTCGTAGTGTGCGGTGTTTTGAGAATGGACTCTCTGGGTAGTTTTGAGG